TCATCAACAATACAGACCTCTTTCTGAAGCACAATGCTTCGATGCACAGTAGAATCACAAACAGGCTAGTCTTTGCCAAAAGAGACCATTAGCCACAGACAACTACCCCCATTAGATACGGTCAATTGCACACGGGTCACTAGCTAAACATCTATTAGAGGCCTTGCAACTGTAGGAGAAAACCAATACTGAGTGACAGTACTAAAAGTATCCTAACTTTTTATTTGTTATTCTGTAAACACTTCCAAACGACATAAACCTCTGCAAAACGACCGCATATAGTTGCAAACATAAACATACGGTCTGTGTTTGGCTTGGGTTAATCTCAGCTAGCCTCCAAAATCCCGAGGGCCTCTCAGTGTCAGCGGCTGAGCTTGATCCGACAGTCAGATCATTGTTAAACAAGCAATCTAATTCATTCTGAAGCATTTATTTCAGGAAGAAGTCAACGGCTAATTCGATCATATCAAAACGATGAAATATAGCTGTGAAATTGAAACCTTTAATTTAATCAGCCATTTGACGATGGCATCCTGTGAGGATGTCCTGAATGGAGAGACTCTCTACAAGACTCCATCGGCACATCAGAGATACGATTTACTCATCTGAAACAGGCAGAGGGTAAAATATGACTGTCCTCTCCACATGCAAACCAAACATCCACGAATAACAGGTCACTGCCTGTGCAGTTTCGTGTTTTCGCTTTTTAAAAATAAGCGCCATTGAGTGGATTCCCAGAAATCTCCCAGGTGGGTGAATCCATTGTGACCGTGACACTACTTTTCCATAGATAAGCCTCTTGAGCAGCAATTAAGATGTATGCAGTGATGTTTTTGAATATCTGAGCATCAGATGAGGCTTAAAATTTGCAGAGAAGAGAGTAAACATCAGCGAGGAAAACAACAAGAAAATAGGACACGTGGACAAAATGTGATTCGATACTCAATTAAACTAAAACATCATCTCCACTGACAACAATTCAATTCTGACACATCTAACTGTATCTTTTGCACCTGCAAAGCACTCATATATTATTTTAATAACTCTGCTGACCTAAATTCACCTTCATGACACTGCATACAGAACGTAGGTCCAAACCCTTCAACATAGTTACATAGGGGGGGGAAAAAAACTTCATTCTAATTCTAGGGTTTTCAATCAGAGGTCCATGAAAAATGTACTAAAGTTAATATTCCTAATGAAAGTCATTGGCTGAGTCTGGGTGGGGGTCCCTGGGTTTTTACTGGTTGAAAACCCCCTGTGAACATCTGAATTACTTTTATTTATGATTCATTTTCCAATACGCTGGACTCGATGGTAGGGCTGCACGATTAATCGAATGCGATTGCCATGCGCATTTTGTTAAAAAAGCCGGTTCTGTAATCAGCAGGAAATCATCATCATCACGTGCTTTCAGATTGAGCAGAATTTACTACACATAGCCGTAGTTCATTGACAAGTTACGCAAAAAAACAAAAAAAACTAATCTGAAATCATTTGCGATAATGACAGCTGTTTGCATAGCTTCTCAGTGAACTACGGTTCTGTGAAGTAAATGCTGCTCCATCTGAAAGCATGTGAAAATACCACATTTAATAACATATTTTTACTCCAAACTCACTTCATAACGTCAGTCGAGTGTTTGAAATAAATCCTTCTATGAGATGATGTGGCTTCTTACACAGAATAAAGCACACAACATATTTCATAGTATTTAAGCAGTGATAAAGGCATTGCATTATAAATATACTTTATTTTAATGAAAATTATAATAAGAAGAACTCAGATAAACCGTATATTGCCATAGGCGTGTGTTTATTAGTCACGCTGAATCAATGAAATCAGTTGAATCTTCGGTTTATTCAGCTGCAGCGATAGGCATTTTCTGGGTTTCTTCTGCGAGGCGTATTTGGAGTTTCAGCGCGAGAGCGCCCTCTGGCCTTTGGATGGAGATTTACTGCTGATCACAGAACCCTGCTTCACTGAAAGATACGCATGACAATCGCAGCTTCTGTCGAATCGCGATCTCGATTCCATTTCGATTTATCGTGCAGCCCTAATCTTTGGTATTTGGAAATGACAACTCATTAGTTAAATAATGCATTATTAAAATGATACAGATATTTACATCAGGGTAATTCCATGGTAGAGTGCTTTTGTGTACCTCATGAACATATGTCAACAGTGGCTTTAACAAAGAATAGCTGACACCAGCTTTCAATGTTTGTTTTTATAGCCAACACCTTCTCCTTGATATTAGCAAACACACACTTTTAGATTGAAATGGAAATAAATGTTAGCACTTTCTCTCTTTGAATATTTTGAGATTTTGTTTGACATAGGCTACTTTATTAAAAGCATTTTAAGCGTCCAAAAGTTATGCATCAACCACATAATCCTCAAAACTATCCTATCTTAAAATTATGCTACATTTCCGAAATAAGCAAACGTCATCTTCCTGTTATTGTGTGAACTCATCTCTTAAAGGGTTAGTTCACCCAAAAATGAAAATTCTGTCATTAATTACTCACCCTCGTGTTGTTTCAAACCCGTAAGACCTTTGTTCATCTTTGGAACACAATTTAAGATATTTTTGATGGAATCTGAGGGCTCTCTGACCCTCCCGTAAGGGCCTTTCGCACCGCTTTAGTTCCAGAACTAAATGTACAGTACTAAAGTACTGGGACGATTTTGTGCGAACTATTTCCCAGTACAATTTAAAGGGTTGCATTCGCACCGACAGTGTGTACTAAGAAGTGACGTAAGCCGGTCGACAGTCATTTGTGTACGGCGTTCAACAACAGAAACAAAGAACAACATTAACAACAGGAGGATGGAGGACGCTGTGATCTGAGCTGTGTTTTTGTTGTGTCTTGCGGGTTTCACAATAATGGACATGGAAAGTCGACGTATACGTAAAGCGATTGAAAGAACGGAAAGGAGGAATAAGAATCTCCAACGACAACAGGTATTTGCTACAAGTGCCTGCACTTCAGCATCTGTCCATCTATCGCTGTTCTCCATACTTGAGAAATAAGTTGACACAATGTTTACAGTATGTTTACACAGCGTTTTAAATCATGGCGGGTGAGGGCGTTTTCGTACGCGTTTGGCCAATCAATGTCTTCTTGCGTCACGATTAGTACCAGTTGTGCTGGTTAGACCCTGCTCCGGAGTAGGAGCTAATTTGGTTCTTGAAAAAGGCAGTCCGGTACTAAAATGGCACCCAGTTCCGGTACATTGATTGGCCAAACGCGTACGGAAACGCCCTCACCCGCCATGATTTAAAACGCTGTGTAAACACTGTAAACATTGTGTCAACTTATTTCGCAAGTATGGAGAACAGCGATAGATGGACGGACGCTGAAGTGCAGGCACTTGTAGCAAATGTAGCACTGCCAGTTGTCTTTGGAGATTCTTAGTCCTCCTTTTCGTTATTTCAATTGCTTTACGTATACGTCGACTTTCCATGTCCATTATTGTGAAACCCGCGACACACAACAAAAACAGCATCCTCCATCCTCCTGTTGTTAATGTTGTTTTTATTTGTTTTCGTTGTTGAACACCGCGCACAAATGACGTCGCTGTCGACCGGCTTACATCACTTCCTAGTACACACTGTCGGTGCGAATGCAACCCTTTAAATGGTACTGGGAAATATTTCGCGCAAAATCGTCCCAGCACTTTAGTACTGTACATTTAGTTCTGGAACTAAAGCGGTGCGAAAGGGCCTATTGAAAAGGTTCCCGCGGTGCGAAAGGCCCTATTGACAGCAAGGTAACTACCACATTCAAGGTCCAGAAAAGTACCAAAATGTACGACAGTATCATGATGCCAGCATGTGGCGGCGCCGGCGCTGACCCAGATCCGGCGTGACAACGTCATTGCACTGGGGATCTGGGTCAGCGCCATCACACGCTCGCGTCATGATACTGTCGTGAACAGGCATCCACAAGTGACGCAGTAGAGACGAAAATGTGGAATAAAGTCATTCTTTTTGTTTTCTTTGCCCAAAAAAGTATTCTCGTAGCTTCGTAACTTTACAGTTGAAGTCATTTGATATAGTTGATGTCACACGGACTACTTTGTCAATCATCTTGGTACTTTTCTGGACCTTGACCATGTAATTAATGACAGATTTTTAATTTTTGGGTGAACTAACCCTTTAAAATGACTTTGTACACTACACAACAGATTATGGAAAACTCTGCATCTATAGAAATATCAGGATTAAATTCTCTTTCTAAAACACACTATAGTGACCTTGTATGGCTAAATGAACTGTTTAACCCCAACAGCTTTATCAATATATAAGGTCTATACTAAAATTTTGAGATTTAGCTTGAGGTGGTGCAATGCAGTTTCTTTACCCTTAAACACGGTCTTTTCTTTAAAATATTTACTTTTTCCCCCAAAATGAAATAGGCCCTAATTTCATAGATGACCATATCAAATGACAAATTATAATACATAAACTCGGAAAACGGGAAATAACAGAGGAAGCTGTTAGGTTGTTATTATTATGACGTCACGGTGTGTTTTTTCAGCCCTATTTCGAAATACATCCGCTCAATATGATGCATTTTTCGACGATGGGTTTCATTTCCTTGAGTCAAATTTTCCCTAAATGATCTACCTTTTCGAAACCATGTTGTTTTTGGGATGCTGCTGGAAAGTAAGACAGAATTATATTGGTTCCGGATAAATGTCATTCCTTCCTTTTCTTTTCAAGAGTTCTTCCATTTCTAAATGTATAGGGCCGCCAAACAGTCCATCAAACCCATTCGAATTATTCAGGATTTTAATATCAGCGTATTTATTTGATTTGAATTAATGTTCTGTGCTGTTGTACTGAAGTGTACTCAATAAGCGATGTATTTTTGCTTTCGCTGTCTAAATTGCCATTACGTGTACAACATTTGTTGCGCTCCCTACTTTGTACATAATGAACAGATTAGATACTGAATATTGAGCACACAATGATGCAGAGCGGCTCTTACCGTGGCAGACACCAGGCTGCTGTCCGTCAAGGTGAGGTGGTGCGGCTCCCACCTCCGTAAAAACTTGGAGGTGAGGAGCTTACTGAGGAAGGTCCGCGGGTACTTGACCACGCACACCTGGATGTCCCCCTCCTGGAGCAGTTTGTATCTCATGCCGCTGCTGCTGTGTAGAAGGCTCCTCTTGCTGCAGGGCCCCGCTTTGTGATTATTATTCCCCTCCGGCGGCGGCGGCGGCTGCGCGGACATTTCCCCCAGCAGAGGCTTACTCTCTTCGGACGGATAAAACTGATTGTTGTGCAGCTCATTTCCCCCGCCGCTCCCGTTAAAATCCATGATTCCCCTCAGCGAAACTCGACGGCGTTGAATCAGATCAGGTGGCTGTCTTTTGATTTCGAGGCCGAATAATGGCGTTCCAGTGTTTGGCATATAGAGGTTCACGCGATCCACCCTGACTCGACCTCAACAGAGCTACGGATAAGACAAGGGTCGGCGAGGATTGAAGCCATTAAATAAGCCCGTCAAGATGAGGAAGGTTCAATGAAGTATAATGTCTTTCCTTTGAGCGTCGAGGGCTATTCAATATGTTCGAGCCATTATGGTAACCATGCCGTCTCTCGCCACGGCATATTATTCCAGTCTTCCTGCTCCGAATATGAAACAATAACCAGGTACAAGATCTACGCTGCGTTCAATTGTATTTGTTCTTCAGATGCTCGGAGTCATGGTTCCCTTTTCTGTCTTTTTTCCTCCCTATCTCGGTGGAGGAACCGAGTGCTTCGGTAGGGCTGCGTGTGGATTGGTCCCGGCTCGGTCATGTGATACCGGAGTGACGTCAATGGGGAGGCGAACGGATGCGCGTCTCTGTTTGATAGGGAGCGCGCACTTCCCGTCTCTCGAGCAAAACGGTGAAAAGAAAGAGAGCATATGGCAAACCGCTTTAGCATTTATAGTATCGATTTTACATTGCAAATACTTGTTTTTTGATTTATTGGATGCAGTCGAATTATGATGGTATACCTTTTAAATTTCACACTAGCAACTATGTAGTCTACATGTACTAAAATAGTGGTTCAAATCAATTCAGTTAGATTCATTGTGTGTCAGTATACCTACCGTACTTATTCCTTTACTACCTTTACTCCTTTTACTACTTGCTATCACTGTAGTGACACAGCCTATTGAAGCCCAGTGTTGTGTGTGTGTGTGTGTGTGTAAAAAAAATAAAATGTATATATATATTATATATATTTAATTCTTACAATTCTGACTTTTGTCGCACAATTCTGAATTGATAGATAAACTCAGAATTGTCCCTATTGAAGCCCAGTGTTGTGTGTGTAAAAAAAAAAAAAAAAAAATTATATATATATATTATATATATTTAATTCTTACAATTCTGACTTTTGTCGCACAATTCTGAATTGATAGATAAACTCAGAATTGCGAAATATAAGAGTTTTGAGTTTATATCTCAGAATTCTGAGTTTACATCCTGCAATTCTGTTGTTTGTTCTGCTAATTTTTTTCTCACGATTGTGAGTTTATATTTCACAATTTGGACTTTTCTTCTCAGAATTGCGAGCTCGTAGCTTACAATTCTGAGTATATATCTCACAATTCTGACATAGTTTTGTCATTATTGCAAAAAATGTCTGAATTGTGAGATTTTTAAAAATATATATTTTTAAGCTTCCATAGACAAGAAAGTATATCATTGTTGCTGGCCAACAAATTGCCGATTTGTGCCCTTTAATTTTATAGCAATTTTCAGATATACAGTAGATAGGTTCTAATAAATATTAACAAGTACAAATAAAATAGAAAAACATAAGTAACTATATTGGATACTTTAAAATACTTGTATCATTTAAAGGCAATGTTAAAAGGGCTTGCCATAGTGGAAGCAGAGTTTATGTCATACTGTCATTTTCTGTACACATTCATTCTGTAAGGCTTCTTTGTTGCAGAAGATGTACCATCTGTCCTGTGGTTCACAAGCTTTCATAATATATAACCAGTTCAACTGAATAAAAATGGAGTTTTAGAGGAGGATCTGATACCTTTAATGTCATCTAAAGGTTTTTTTTTTTTTTTTTTTTGGTTGTTTTCATGAACAAGAAATCAAATAGGCCTATACTCATTTCTCAGAATGTGGGTATTATTCAAAGTCACATTCTGCAAAATAGCAATTGCTAATTGCTTCTACCGGGGTAAATTGTCACAATAGGAACCAACTCCTTATTGACCCTGATTTTAAAAATGTTCTTCTTTTTTTAGAAAATGAAATACTAAGGTAAAAAAAAGGCCATATTCTACAACAGATTAGTATTTAAATTGCATTACTATCTTGTTTAAACTTAACGATTATATGAAATTAAACAGCATAAATAGAAAAGGAAGCATACTCAAAAATTCAACGCATTGTTGTATATGTATAAATTGTATACATATAAAACGTGTGATACCTTGCCCTGACCTGACTAAAAAAAAGTATATTCCAAACTTTTGTTTTAAATCTTTATTGTACAGTTGAAAATACCTTAATGCATATTATAGTGTATTATTTTCCTTTCTGTACTCAACAGATGTTACAAACAGTATGATTATGTTCTTTTTAGAGATTGGAGGAGAGTTACCAAAATGTGTCATCATCATAGTATAGTTTTGAAAGTAATTGAGTTTGACTCTAACATACAAGCATTTATATGTTCATGAATATGCAAGAAAATTAAGAAGTTTGAAATTCTCCTGATTGTGTTGCAGTTCACAGCCCTCCATCCGACTTTTGTTTGGCTTAAACAGCAAAGTCTGAAAATAAATAGGCCCACATTTGGTCATTTGAGTTAGATATTTATTCAACTGGGATACTTCTTCTGACCGCTTGCTCTCATTCTGCATGAAGTGCACAAGATTTCTTGGGAGGCTGAAGCAAGCAGGGCCACCCACACTCTAAACAAAGCCTCAGTCACAAAAATGAATACTCCCCCGCCTCTGACAACATTGTTATTGTGCTTGTAATCTTTCCTAACGCATTAGTGACAACATATTTTATCAGAATGAGCCATGGTGGTGCGGAGCAGATGATAATGCTTGTTCATACACTTCCAGACTTCCAAGTGGTAAAATCTTTCACTGAAATGCACCAGTGCTCAGATGTTAAATGACTTATGAAACGGTCTTTGTATCAGCAAGTTAAAGGGAAGTGAGATTTTTTATCTGCGCTTTCGTTTTGTCATTGACTATAGTGCACTGGCGGAACTGATTTATTTTACATAAAGGAATATATCATGAAAGGAACAATATGTCATCATTCACTCATATGTCGATCCAAATCTGTTTAAATTTATTTCTAAAGAATAGCACTCTTTTTAATATACTAAAAAATGTCTGTATGTATATGTATCTGTATTTTTTAGTAATATAATCATTCCAAACCTGTATGACTTTCTTTCTTTAGAAAATCATAGACACTTTTTTCCATACAGGAAATAAGATCATTGGTCCAAGCATGACTTTGTTTTTTTAATTGTCACTCTTTCCCATAATAAAATTTCACACTTTTACTATATTCAATAATATAATTGTTCCCTACCTGTATGACTTTCTTTCATAAGAAGAGTCACTCATTTCCATAGAGTAAAATTTAATTTTTTAATAATATTCAGTAATACAATCAGTCCAAGCCTGTATGACTTTCTTTAGTCACTCTTTTCCATATAGAATTTCACACTTCTATTATACTCAATAATATAAATGGTCCAAGTCTGTTCGACTTTCTTTACAAGAATATCTTAGTCACTCATTTACATAAAATTTCACTTATTAATTATATTCAGTAAAATTATTGGTCCAAACGTGACTTTTCTTTTTCAAGTCACTCTTTTTCATAATAACATTTCACACTTTTATTAGAATCTTTCCAAGCCTGTCTAACTTTCTTTCTTAGGAATATCCTAGTCATTCTTTTCCCTATATGAAAATTTCACACATTTATTATATTCAGTAATACAGTCGGTCCGAGTCTGTATGACTTTGTCTTCAGAATATCCTACTCACTTTTGCATATAGGAAAATATCACACTTTTATTATAAATTAATGGGCCGAACATTCTTCAGAAATTTGCTTTCCACAGAAGACAGTCAAGCGGGTTGGTTTTGACATGTGGATGAGTAAATAATGGCAAAGTTCATTTTTAGATGACCTGTTTCTTTAACAAGTTTGACCCACAAAGTTATCTGACATGTTTAGTTTCCTAGAAGACATATTTTGGTGTACGGTGTCTCAGTCATTACATTATAACGTGTTAAATTATCACACAACCATTCCTGATGACATACTCGTAGAGGGTGGGACTGTCGTATCTTACACTGTGAATTCTGCTTATGTATGAAGTGTGTATGGTCTGTGGAGTCAGTACAGGCAATGAGATCACCACCTCGAGGACTGATACCGGTCTGATTAATCCCAGAGGAAAGATCTAAACATTCACAGACTACCCTGCCTTTTTGCTGACGGCTTGTTCCACGCATTGTTTGCTGGGATGAAGGCATCACATCCCTGGTGGGAATACTGTGGTAATGTTGTGCTGTGTAAGCAACCAAAATGGTGAGTAAGAAAAGCAAACTGCATCACTTGACTTCCCCAATCGAATGATCTGCATGCCTCCTGACCAGCCCCTTGACGAGGAAGTGACTCAGGCTGTACAAAGTCATTCACAAGTCGAATCAAATGGAAAGGAGGAAGTCTTTTGTTTATGTTGTCAGTGAACATGCTGGGTTGATGTAAGAGGTGTTGAAATAACTTCAACTACATTCAAATGAGCTTTGCATGCACTCCAACTGGGAGAAAGAATTTTCTTGCTCTGGTCTTTTCCCATCATACTCGCATTACTCAGTCTGACCGATGGATTATAAAAAGTCACTTGTTTGGACCATATATGCAACACTTGGTCACAAACTGCAAATAGAGTCACATGCTGTAAACCTAAGCTGAAAGTGAAACAGCTGTCTGTGGTTGTTTGGTTCTTTGATGATGGGGCCTTTACAGGAAAACCCTCTTGTATGCAAGTAACTTTTTAATTAAAGATGCGTAGTAGGTTCATTTACAAAGTGTCACTTTTTTTTTCAAGCGAAGTCTATTTTAGGACCATTAAAGGGGTCATAGGATGCCCATTTTCTAAAAGTTGATACGATTCTTTAGGGTCTTTATGAAAAGTCTGTAACATAGTTTGGTTAAAATTTCTCAATGGTAGTGTAAAAAACACATTTTTTACCTGGTCAAAACAGCTCTTTTCAGATCAAGCCGTTTTTGTAGCATTTTCCTTTAAATGTTAATGAGCTCTGCTGCCCCCGCCCCTCTCTTCCGAGCTACTCTCAGAGAGACTGTTTACTTTAGCCGCATTCATCGTGAAACTTGCTAATTATCACATTATTAGGAAAGGCGATTTGCAAAGATTCATTACAAAACATTATACTCACTTCTTCTGTAGATGAGGCTGGATCATGAATGATTGGCGCGAACATATACGCATTTATGTAGACCGGGGGCGCATTCTCTTCAGAAACAATGTAATCCACTGCGAGTTCAGCGGCTCAGATGTCGGAAGTAAATGACGACTGCTATGTTCATTATTACATCCAACAACAGAACACCTCAATCGCTTAGGAGTCATTCTTGTCTACATCTGCTCCAGCGGTGAAACATTGGCGGACTGATGACAGCTCACTCAGGGCGGGTCTAAGGTAAGACAGTCTGTGCTGAAACGATACTGTCAATCAAACTATCGTGGGAGGGGCCTGTCTGTGTGACGTTACACAGACAGGCATCTGAGA